CCTCTTCCCCTCCCCACCTATGCTCTGCCCAGCAGTTGCACGTAGATACAAGGTATCTATATATATATATATGTATATATAGTATGCAGATCAATTGACGACGAATGCCGATTACCTTTTACGTTTCTCATTTATACACATGTGCATGCTTAAACGTGTCAGACACATCATTCAGCTGTGTGTGTGTGTGTTGTGTGGCGGCCTTCAGAGTGTGAAAATGGTGGCAACCGCTCTGCAATCGCTCTGCATGCGGCATTCAATACAGAGTGTGGTGCTTTGAGTTGAATGCAATCGCAACGTGTCTCAATTAGTAGATTGATCGAGCGTGAATTGCAGTAGCTTTGCTTTGTTTATCGATAACACGCCGAAGATTTATGTGCCTCATTTTTAAACACAAGGCAAACAATCTAAAAAACCAACTTGTATTTCGAAAGCTGCACACCCGTGAAAAATCGATAAATGCAGGTCAATAGTTCAGCTATGAAAGATAAATTCGCTTTAATCATAGTGGAAACTGCATTTATCGATCAAATAAAATCAACAACTAAACCATTATCGATAAAGTCTCTTTCGAATTAGAAGCTGCATTTATCGATATTGGTTTTGAGTGATAACTTCTCTTAAAGCATTGTAGAAGCTGTATTTGTCATTTCTGTTAATTGTAATTTATCCGTTAATATTAAGTCTAAGTCAACAGATAATCTATTAACGATAAAGGCTTTTCAATATGTGAATTTATCGATAAATCAAGATCCGGAGCTAATCTAATATGGAGATCTAAATTGATTGATTTTCTTTAGATTGTTTAGTAATTGTGGAATAATGCTTGGAAACGTTAAATCAATTACCGATAACAAGTAACTGAAACTAGAAAAAGTCGTTAAGATTCTTTTTCCGCTTTTTCTTTTACTTTTCCGTTTTGTGTTCGTTGTTTCCACAGAAATCGATTAGAATCTAATTGTGCAGCAGCGCGACTCTTTGTTGTTGTTTATTGTGACGATATCACATTTGTATTCTAGTGCGATACTGATTGATGCTTTCGATGCGCTCCGGCTTCGATCCGTTGCATGACCCCAAAGCCAATGCGATAATGATGATGTTGATGTTGATAATAATGTGCATGTGGATGATGATTGCTACGGGAACAGCAAGAGGCAAGAGGCAACTGAGCAGTGCTAATTGGTTATTCACAACGCATAACCTTGCCACTTGAGATGCGATGTGTTTTGTTGCTTTGACACTCACTTCACTCTTCGGTGGCAAGCAAAAAAAAACCCTTCCTTCTTCACAGCTGCTTCTGCTGCTTCTTCTCTACCGCAAGTGGTAGAAGGAAAAACTGAAAAATAAAAGAGAAAACTTTCATCTTGGCTTAATTGAAAATGCCAGGCAGAAAACGACAACAGCTGTGTGTGGATAAGCGGGGAAAACAGCGAATAGAGTGAATAAAAAATAAAAGGAAAAACACATTAAAATAATAATAATTATATCTCTTGGCTAGACTCTTATGTACATATGTATATATACATATCTATGTATATGTGTGTGTATGTGTATGTCTATCTTGTTTGTGGTTTTCCACTGTGCTTTTATTATTTCTTCTGAGTTAGAGATGATTTCCGCATGCTTTTTCAACCGTGAATAAGCACGAACTTTCATTTTAAGATTCTAGAAACGCACGCCTCAGACAAACCCCACCAACACCCAATTCCCCCCTCCGCTCCGAACCGCCCCATTTCTTCGTCTTAGTGTCAATTTGTCGAGTTGTGCATAAAAAATGAGGGAGAGAGCGATACAGGGTTGAAGAATATATAGAATATCAGAAGTGGGAATGTAAGTCTGTCTTTATAAGAGGTGCTATAAAAAAGTAATTGAGTTTTGGGCACAGCTTTCAGTCTTAGTCCGTTCAATCTACTTTTTCTCCCTCTCGAATCTGTTCGTTTTCCATCATGCATTAAATTTTAGGCCAAAGGGCTTAGATCTGCCTACTAATCGATATAAATCGATAAGTCAAAATCAACAGTTAGTCGTATTATCTAAGAGTAGTCGTTAACCAAATTAAAACCTACATTTCGCGATAAAAGATCAACAACTAATCTACTGTCGATAAAGTCTCTTTAACCAGCTGTATTTATCAATCAATTAATATCAGAAGCTAATCTTTTATCGATAACGTCTCTCTTTCTGTCCTGTGATAATCATAGGATCCTTTTATTTTTAACCGTCTCCGTTCCACAAAAAGAAAATTGAGATTATCATCATATTTATTACATTTTCATTGGCCTTACATAAGTTGAAGAGACTTTTCCAACAAAAAAAAAAATAAAAGAAGATCACTGAAAACAAAACGTTACAAACTTGACGGTCAAATTAGAATACTCTCTCGATGCAAACGGTTTTATAAATGAGAGCTAATCACAAATCACAAATCTTAACTGTTTTGCTGCTTCTTCGTCTTCCCGATGAGTAAAAACAACGAGAGACAACAACATCATTAACAGTTCACACATATGGGTCTCTAAATAGAGACACACACATACACACTTATCCATACATACATACATACAGAGATAGTACCGTTGTAGAGACCCCCCTCCCCCTTCCCCCGTTCACGGTTCACCCATTTTGTGTGGAAACTTTCATGGCTGCTAGCTTTTTGACTTTAATTCTAATGCTCTTTTTGATGAGCTGCCTGGAAACGTGCCTGGAAATCGAAATCACAGTCAAGCGACGTTCTCAGCAACAACAGCAACAACTAGTTGGGAATTATATGCAGCATGCTCATATGATTTACTAATTGAATGCGTAGAAAGTTTTCAACAATTTTTGTTGTTTTATTTTTTATTTTGTAGCAATTTTTGCTGCTTACAACTTTTAGCATAATACTTTCGATTTGTCTTACCCCAAAAAAAAAATAAATCTAAAGCATAACAAATTGCTTAGATTTTGTGCTTGCTGCTTGTGAAAGTTTTTCTTCACTTTGGCCAAAGTGTCAAGTGCCATTCCAATTTTGTTGTTAAAGCACCTCTTTTTTTCCCCAGTTTTTACTTTTCCACGCTGCGTGCTGCGTGTTGCGTGTTGCCAAGTTGGATTAATTCTTCGATTGCGCCGTGGCACGCAATTAAAGATAAGCGCGTTCAATTCTGACAGACGTCGCGTATATTTCATTCCTCAGCAGAATTCTCTTTAAATTAACTTTTATTCGCATTATAAAGATGTAGCGCCATCGCTCTCTCTCTCTCTCTCTTTCGCGTGTGTGAGTGTTCACTGGAATATTCCCCAGATGCAAAAGGGATTTTTACAGCTTGCTCATCATTTGATTCTGCTTTTAATGAGTCATTAAAACTAGCGAAAAGCTTTCGTCGCAGCTTAAATACTAAACGATAAAAGCCAAGGTCATCGACGAAAGCTCATTTATAACGGGATCGACTCGAATGACTTGCAAGCAATCGGTGCGATTAAAATGGAAACTTAACTTTGCCAAAATGTACAAAATTTCTTGATTGCGGAATTTTGTCAATATACCAAAGCTCAACAAAAAAGTAAAGCAGTTTTATCTGAAGAGTTTTGTCGCCTTTCGCCTTTAGCTGTAAATGGGTGAAGGTTATCCAGTCTTTTTGACTCCTTTTTACATGCATCCCGTTCGATTTTATGTCTTCTTGCTTTTTTCCTTTATTATGATGGTAATTCCACAACTACCCCAGCCCCACGCATTATTCATGGTCTGCGTCTCTCTTCGTTTGGGCTGTGCCTTCTTCTTCGTCTTCTTTAATGATGAGTTTTAATTTTGGTTCGCTTTATTTTGTTGTTTCTCGCTTGCTTGTTGTTTTTGTTGTTGCTGACATTGCGTCAGCACCAGCGAAGATGACAACAGCTTTTACTTTCCTTTTGCTGGGTTGTGGAGGGGAATGGTGCAGGGAGGGAGACTGAACGCGACTAAAATAAGCAGAACATAAATGCGAATTTGAATTAAATGCGAGGAAGTGTTTACAAAGCCATTGGAATAATTATTATTTGGCTTTTATTTATTTAACAATTAAAAATTGCAGAAAAACTTGCTGCTGTTGAGTTGACCTAAGGAAAAAGTTTAGAAAATGTAGTCGGGGCACAAATAAAATACATCATAATTCATTTCTATAATAAATCTAATTAACATGCATATGTATAAGCCGATTTTGGCTTGGCAACCTCGCAAAAAAAATAAAACAAATAAATACATACACATACTTATTTACATACTCGCACACACACGCACATATAAAAGGTTGTGAAACTATACAATGAGGCAAAAAAACACGCGATCGCTTTTTTTCTTTCCTACAGAAATAAATAACATATACAAAAGCAACAACAGCAACAAAAATATATACATACATACATATACAAATACATACATATACAAATGCGCACATAATGTATGTGTATATATGTGTGTGTGTGTATTTAAAAGCTCATAAGCTAAATCATAAACGTTAGACATATACAACAAATGTGTCCACAGTTGCTGCACAGTGGTAGAAAGCTTCCCTTCTCACAGTTGATATGAACTCCGGTATGGGATGAAAAATATATATTTTTCTCAATTTTTTTATTTGAAATTTCTGAAAATTCTAAAAATAATTTATTTTTCTACAAATTAATTGCTGCGGAGTGGTAAGAAGCTTCTCTATACAGTCTTTGATTTTTGAAATCATAATTATCTAAAATCGAATATTCTATTCTTAAAATAATTTTTTTATATGTAAATTTATATTTTTTTGTCTACAACCCTCATACCACTGTGCAAAGCGCGGCGCGTGTTTCGCTTCAATTTTCTAAAAACGTCCAACACACAAGAAGAAATGCCCAAAAGAAGTATTATTTTTTGTGCCTAATTCGTAATCAAGGAAACCACAAGAAAAAAAATCAATTTAAGCAAAGTTGAAAGTTGAAGAAATGCTTGCCAAAAAATCGAAAATGTTTTAAGCTCTTTGCGTTAATTTTGTTTGTGTTGTATTTTCTAGAAGAAAGTTTAGCAAATGTAAAGTGAAAGAAATGAATGAGTTGTGTTGAGCACAAACTAAAAATTTAAAACTAAGCAGCGAACGAACAAATGTGCAAATCATAAGCAGCAACAACAACAACAATAAGCTAAAAAGTAAAGCGAGCGCAACAAAAGCAAAAGTGACGGGTGAATAATGTTGAGAGCGCCCACACAGCACATTGTGGAACTCGGTTTCGGTACGTCAGCAGCAGCAGCAGCGACAGCTACCACAACAACAACAACAGCAGCGAGAACAAGCGAAAAGCAACAGCGCAAAACTTTACTGCAAAAGCTCAAACAGCAGCAGCAAAAGCTACACAACAACAAAGCAGCAGCACCAGCGACGCCAGCGGAAACGCAAGAGACAAATCAAAAGAGAGCAGCGATAGCAGCAGCAGCAGCAGCTGATTATTATTTCAAGCAGCACCAGCACCAGCAGCAAACAAGTGAAAAGTGTTTGCTGTTGTTGGCAACAACAATTACTGCAGACGAACAGCAGAAGAAGAAGAAGAAGGAGCATACAAGTTACAGCTTTGCAGCTGCGCTGCGACGCAACAAGAAGCCAAAAACAATAACAACAACAGCAATTGTAACAGCAGCAAACGACGACAACAACAGCAGCATCAGCAGCAGCAGCAGTAATCAAAGCAGTCGCAGCATTAACAGCAATAACAAAAACAGCAACAACAATAACAGTTTGTCTAATAGTTGCATTCACAACAACAACAACAACACAACTCATTATAAAAACAGTAAAAACAGCAGCAGCAGCTCCAGTAACAACTACATCAATAATTACAATTTCAAAACAACAAGTGAACAACAAGCGTGGAAAACAACAACAGAAATAACAACAACAGTCGCTGCACAACAACAGCTGCTCATTAATAGAAACGGCAGCAGCAGCAATCGACGCAAAACCAGCAGCAATAACAGCAACAACAACAACAACACCATGTCACCCACATCACAGGCACCAACACGAACATCTCTGTTCGATTCCTGTCATCGCAAGATCCGTTTAATTGGCGGCGGCCCAGTTGCCTTCTTGGGCGGTTTAGTGGCGTAAGTTGATACCCTACTCCTCCTTCCCCACTATTACTATTCACTACTAATTTATGGTTAAAACCCATTCAACTAGTTTTTAATTACATTTTCTCGGCTCAAATTACACGCTTTAAAGCGTGGGATTTTTTTTATTAAACAATTTCGATAAATCCCAGTTGGGACTTATGCGACTGCTATTTGTCACATTTTCTCTTTTAGTGCACTTCTTTTCCCTTAATCTTAAGCCTATGTTATTTATACCAGAGTCAGAATGTACCCATTAACATTGTGTTGCGTGCTTGTTACTTATTTATGTTATACGCAAAAGTCGTTAGAATTTGGAGTACATAAGAAAAAGGTCAAACGCTTAAAAAACAGCCCTTGCCAAAGATAAATAACAAATTATTTACTCTTTTTTTATGGCATTAATTACAATCATTTCTCAGGTAAACAAAACCACTAAAAGCGCTTTGTGTAGTGCAAACTCAAGGCTTGTGGGGCAATTAAAATATATATAACAAAAGCTAAAAACAAAGACAAAGAAAAAATAAAAAACAACACAGAAACAAAAACTTTGCTCAAATAGGCCTAAGAGCGTTTTTTGAAGGTCAAAAATATTAAGTGTGAATACAGCGTACTGTTAAGCTGCACTGTTAAGCTGCTAACATGTGTTATTCAACAGCACAGACGCCTGTTGTGTGTTCTCTGTTGCGTTAACATTAACGGCTTAACGGCGAACAAAAATCTTTAAAAAACTTCCTCGTTTGCCTAATTTGGTATAAAGGCCAGTCCAAAAATAAGCGTAAGCAGCTGAATTTAAACACAACTCATTAGCAGAGTTAAACGAACTTTGAAAGGGGCTCCGTTGGGGAGAGGGGGCGAATGGAGACGAAGGCGTCTCTGTTGACACTGTCAACACAAAGTGCGCTGAACTGATAATTAGTAAGAAATGTAAATATTGACAGAAGTGAGTGTGCATAAATACGTAACACAAACATTAAAACGCAAAGAACAACAAGAAGCAGCAGTAGCAGCAGCAGCAGCAATGTTAACGATTCACTGCCTCCCACTCTGACTCACAGTGTAAAAGCTAACAGTTTTTCTTTTAGTACATTTCTCATGGATTGGATGTCACATCACGTTTGTGTGAGTGTGTGTGTGTGTAAAAGAATAAGAAAAAGAAGAAGAAGCAACAGCAGCAAACACGTAACGTAAAAATGTCAATTCATGTTTTGATTGCTAGGGAGCGAGCGAGATAGCAGTATAACAGCTTAAAAGAAAATGTTGATAAACCTGTCAAAAGTGTTTCTGAATAGAAAATTTGCATTATAATGTCTATATGCGTTTTATATTTTCGTTGTTGTTGTTGTTTTTATTCAAGAAGTTCAAAATTTGAATAAAAAAGAATATGATGTAAACAAACCAAAGAAGAAGAAGCATAAAATACCATAAAATATATGAAAAAGAAATCTTCATAAAGTGAGTAATAATTTATTTTGTTTGTTTGTCATTTATTTATTTGCTGTTGCTAACTGTACTTTGAGAGAGAAATAGAAGAGGGGTGGGGGGCGGTGAACTGAGGTGAATTTATGTGGGGTGAGTAGAGGGGAGTTGAGTTGAGGCTAATTGTGAAGCATTAATAACAATCATAACTGCTGCTGCGCTGCCGACTGCACTGCTGCCTGTGTTTGTCTAACTTTTTAGCATTGAGCTTAAAGCATCGCAATTAGCAAATTGAAAGAGCAAACAGCAGCAGCAAGCATTCAGATTGTGGACTGTGGCTTGTGGAAACCATGTTAAATTGCTGTTAGGCAACATACTTATAACATAATTGAAGGTTGCTGACCCAATTGATGAATACGGCTAAAAGCCAAAGTAGCGATTTTTTTTTTTGGTAACACAAGCGATTCGTTTGATAGTATAAAACTTTTACAAAACGACTACTAAACCAAATCAAGGCTTTAATATTCAGTGCTGCCAATTACGCGCTGTTTAGCAATACAGCGGCAAGGAAGGAAAGCAAGATATTCAATACAATGACTTTATTACTGCCAAAGCCCATAGTGGCAAATAAACAGATTTTCAATAGAATTCAATTTATTATGACTGTATAACTAACAGAGCACTGTTAGCTTTTGGCAGCACTGCAACCGTCAACCGCTGCTGTTAACAATTTATTGCGTAGAAAGTTGAAAATGTTTAATGTAATGCCTGCTCTTCATTATGTAAGTTAAAACTGTGCCAATTTCATTAAACTGCTTTTTCGATAAACGGCGCCTACTTGCACTTTTTTTTTATTATTCAGCTATCTTTCGTTGTGCTAACATTTTGCTTTGGGTTTAGCATTGCTTAACTATTAGTTCCAATTGGAATAAATGTTAAATTTGCATTGAGAGCATTAAGCTTACAGTTTACTCTTGTATCAGCAGCTGGCCGTTGACCTCGACAACAGATGCTCTGTTAATTGAACTGAACTTGAGCTCAAGTACAGACGAAACTCTAACAGCTGTTCTCTCCACTTTGTACAGGAGGGGGAGGGGAAGCGGGGTTTTAATGAGTTTGCAATGCACACAGCTGTTGTTGGCAGAGAAAAGAAAAAAAAAAGAATTGCAGATTATTCTGCTGGATTATTAGCCGACTCAGAAGGCGTATCAAAATCAACGTCAACATTGTCGTTTTCGCATTCTTATTCTGCTTGGCTGTCAGCTTAAAAAGAGAGAAAGAGATAGAGAGTGAATGATTAGCAACCCAAGAATAAGCAGAAGAAGAAGACGGAGAAGAGAGATCAGTTCAACGATGTAGAACGATGTCAAAATATAGCGGATGTTTGAACAGGAACTACAGATGGCAAAGATCGCAGAATTGTTTTATTGTATTTAGCTCAGGGTTGCGCTTAGATTCATAAAATGAAAAGAAATAAATACCCTGTAAAGAATTCATGATGGGGTTGTTTATTGAAAGAGTTAGATACTTTATTTATTGTATTGCTTTTTTAAATCTCAATTTTCAGTTTGGATATTCCATTTTTCTATTAATAATATACGAAAATATAAATAAAATATGCTTAATTAATTTGAAACTGTTTTGCAGAAGAATATAATGTTGATAGATAATGAGAAAAGTTTGCAAACATTTCAGATTAATATTATAATTATTAATATACAAATAAACAAATATAAATACAATCAAAATGTATTTATATTCATTTGAAACAGCTTGGCAAATAATTTGATGTTATATGATAATAAGAACATTCTGTCCGGGACATAAAAAATATAGATTATAAATATATTTAAGGTATGCATGTAAACATTTAAAATTGGAATTTCCTGAAAAAGTCAGTTTATTATTCTATTAATAATTTGTTATGCCGATTACAAGGTATCAGCTAGTCAATCAATTTGGTCAATCTACAATGCAATTCAATCATTATCCAGAAGTCGTTTGTCGTCTATTCTATTGTCATAATTATGCATAAGCAATTGCCGTAAAACCAACTGGATGACTTCAACAAACCCCTTAGCCCCCCCCCCCCCCACCTCCTTAACCCCCTTCTCTTTTTGGCCATTGTGCAAACGGGGCCAAAACCGTTGCTCAGATGTTTCTGGACTGTAATTATTTGTCCATTAGCTCTTTGTTTTTTGGCCTGGCAGCTGTTACAAATTTGGAACACGACACCCGACACCGGAGGGCGCCCCAAGGGGGCAAAGCACAGCGCCAGAGGTCAACGAAAATTTCTATTTCCATGAAAATGGATGCCAAAATGCTGCTGCTGCTGCTGCTTCTGATGACAATGGACTCTTTCAATTCCACAAATCTCTTCTATGCAGCAATTAACGGTAATCTATTTTTGGGGCGGGAAGCAAGTCTAAGTTTAATTACCGTTGACCCCCCACACTCAATTATTCAAGTCCTGTTAACATTGTAGAAATTGTCAAGTGAGAAAAGCATTTAAGCAATGTTCATTATTTGTTAGTTTAGTTTAGATCTGCTTTAATCCGATTTGATTTAAATTGCATTTAAATTAAGAGAGCTCGTCGAGTCACAAAGATATAATAGTACAATATGCTGTTAAGAGTGCTCTGTTATCTACATGAATGATTTGTATGTATATCAGCTGGTCATTGTCATATTCTCACTTATTAGATTACACGTAAGCAAAATACTATAACATGCCATCTGTTATCTAAATAAAGTATGTGCTTGTTTATCAGCACGTTATTCTCAGATTCTTATTTATAACATTGCACATAAATATAATACTATAACATGCCGTTAACAGTGATATGTTAACTACACACATTATATGTATGTATATCAGCTGGTCAGCAAAATCCAAGTCGTTAACGTGCTCTGTTATCTACATAACTGATATTTGCATATCATAGCACAACATACATACATTCTTACCAATAACATTATATTATAACATACCGTTAACAGTGCTCTGATATATGTGATAAGCTGCACGTCATTCTCAGATTCGTATTAATAACATTACACATAAATATAATACTATAACAAGCCGTTAACCATTGCTTTGTTAACTATACACATGAGATTTGTGTACATCAGCTCGTCATACTCAGATTCTAACCTGTAACCTGTACTACAATAACATGCCGTTAGCAGTGCTCTGTTCGTTGTGGCTAAAGTTCAGTGGCCAGGTGTGAAACGCATTAACTAACAAAACAAACATTAGCATCTGTGTCTGTGTCTGTGTCTCGCTTTGCTGGTGATGACATTCAAAAAGTTCATTAAGAAAGCACACACGACTTTAATATGTTTTAGTTTTTGTTATGAATTGCATTTGCTGCTGCTGGCTGACCTAAACACAAAAACCGAGTGATTTATATCCATTTTCACTATTTCATTTTCAATTTCACCCACATGCAAAAGTAAGCGAAAAAAAAAATGTATACATATATTACGCCTCATAAAACTTCACCTTGAAGCTGACTGCTGACTGCTGCTGACTTATTGGCGCTTGCTTTGCACAAGTTCCGGCTGCGGCTGCG